AGCACCAAAATTCCTCATCCGAGGAATACAACCGAAAACCCCCCCCCCCCCGCCACTTCAAAGGAGTTCGGCTCGAGTCTTCGCGCCGGCCAGACGTGTCTGAGCTTGCTTCCGTACGGTGAGGTTATAGGTTAACTGTGCGGCCGTCTGTGTTTCCCCGTGGGAACGACTGTGCGTGGTGTGCCTTCCCGGTGTCGGACCCGGGTTTTTCGCGGCTTCCCCCTCGGAGGGGGAGCGTTCCTGGCGAGGCAATAGGCGCGAACTTGCTTGAGAGTGATAACCCGATTCGTGTGCTCGGTGCGATGTCGACGGAGAACAATTCGTTGTCTCTGGACGAACAGGCCTTCGACGAGTTTGCGCGAGGTGTTTCTCAGGATTCCCCCCGGCCGGGGACAACGTGTCGCGGAGTGCCTTCTGCGAAAAGACACAGGGAGGAGGACATGCCCCCCGAGGACATTGTCGCGAAGAAGACGCCTTCCCCGCAGGACGTGGAAATGGAGGAGAGTGACGTGGGGGATCTTCGGGTGGAGTCCTCCGAACACGACGAGGAATCCGGGACGGACGAGGCGCGGTCGGGCGCCACACCGACGATTCGTGATGAACAATTAGTATCACGTGATATGAATCTTGCGGTCGCTACCGCTCCCGACGATCTAAACAGAGAGTATTATATTGTGAAGGACAACACGCTTACGTTACGTGATCCAAATATTGACGATCATCGCTTCCAGAAGCCTGTGAAATTTGACGATGATTTCCCAGGTAAGGCGATTATTGTTCTTCGCCTGCCTCAAGATCAGACCACGATAAAAAAAGGAAAAAACTTGATAAAAATATGGATGATTTTAAATGAACTAACTATAATTCCTGTGTCTGTTACGATGATTAACCATTATTCTGCAGAAGCGTTGTTTAAGGATATCTACGATGCCAACTCAGCCCTCGAAAAGATTAATTCGCTCAAGAATCCAGTCAAACTCACAGCTAATGTTGAACAGAGAAACGTAATATGTAAGGGAGTTATCTCTGATTGGCCGTCGTCCATACCGGCTCTGTGGGATAATATATGTGATAGGAGCAGAATTGTCAGCTTGGAGAGGATGCTCCGCAGAAAGTGGGACCCTAATAATAATAAAACGACGTATTGCAGTACTGACAACATTATTATCACGTTCAAGGATAGCAATATTAGAAACTTGGCGATTTTTGCAAGCGGTATTGGTCTTAGAGTGAGGCCATTTGTCCAACAGGTGAGACAGTGTTTCAATTGTTATAAGTTCGGCCACACCAAACTTAACTGTAAGAGTGAGACCCGCTGTATTGTCTGCGGTGACAAGGCCCACGGCCAGTGTGACGAGACGCGCTGCTGTAATTGCGGAGGCGCTCACAGGTCTACATACAGAAAATGTCCGGCTTTTGAAAAAAATAGAAATATTAATGTAGTGATGGCTCAGAGGAACATTTCTTTCCACAGTGCCAGAAGGATTGTTGAAGGAGAGGTTCCGCCTTCGACCGAATTTCAAAATAAATTCTTGGACCAGCGTCCGTGGCCTGCTTTGCGCCCGACTTCATCGTACGCGGAGGCTGTGAGAGGGCCCAATCGCCCCCTGCCCACCCCGAGGCAGGGGCCTACACGAGGGGAGACGCGCGCGGCCCCCCGGAACTTTTACAAATCGTTTAACCCCCGCGAAGGTGAGATCACCAAGGACAGGTGGGGTATCCTCCTTGCCAACCGGGAGGCTGATGGAAGCAGTAAATCGAGAGACGATGGCCCGGACGACCCGGCCTCGTTGGAGAAGCAGAGGATTTTGAACTCGGTGGAGATGTTGATTGACATGCTGCGAAGGACTCCCGATATCCGTGCAGTAGTACGGCGAGCGTTGGAGCAGACAAATTTTGGCGGGTCCCCGGGGGAGTCTTCTCCTTCTCCCCCCTCCCAAGGACTATACGGGACGGCCCCTGTTCCGGGGGTCGTCCGATCAAGGTATTCTGGACAGCTAGTTAATCATCGATATATATATAGTAATTAAATTCAAGATCTTATTATGGAATTGTAGAGGATTTCGACCTCACAAGAATGAGTTATCTAAGATCTCAATGGATTATGACATCGTTGTCCTTACCGAGACTCGATGTTCGGCTCGCCGCGGAGTATATCTTCCCGGATTCAAGACGCTTAATGGGGATAACGCTCTCGGTAGCGGAGGAGTGGCTGTCGCAGTCCGGTCTCATATTAGATTTGATATCATCAGACTTGGCGGGATGCCTGTGGGATATGATGTGTTGGGGATCAGCACCTCCAACTTACGGAAAAACTTTAACATCTTTGCAGTCTATAGACATCCTAGAACAAACATCGGTCCGCGCGACCTCAGGGAAATCATGAATTCTGCTGACGGTAATATGCTTGATTCCATTATCCTCGGAGATTTTAATGCACACAATACTGCATGGAACTGTGCCTCTACCAACGTGAGCGGAGAGACCTTGCATGACCTTATGGCTAATGGTGGCTTTACCTGTGTTAATTTTGACACCATATCACGTATAGGGTACAGTGGCCAGAGGGATTCCAACATCGACCTGTTGTTTGCCGACGGCGACCTGGCGGGTGAAATCGAGTACTCTCAGTTGGAGGAAACGTGCGACAGTGACCACGTGCCCATCGCCTTCTCATTCAACACTGGAGAGCAGGTCTATGAAAAACTCTCCAATAGGATTTCTTCTAAGAAGACGGACTGGGAAAAATATCAGGAGGCCGTCGAGGGGAGGATGCGACATCTCTTTGCGGACATCTCGGATCTAGGATCGGATTTCTCTGGCTTCTACCAGTCCTTCGTGCGTGCCGTTAAATCTTCGGTTGAGGAGGCCACGGGTCGACGTGGCCGCGCCTCTGGAGGACGAAAAATATCGCATAGATGGTGGAATGCGGACTGCGACGCTGCCATTGCCGAGAGACGAAGAGCCTTTCAGGCTTTTAAAAAAACTCGAGATACTCACACCTGGCACTGCTATAAGCGCTCATGTGCTGTGGTGAAAAAGACGTTGTGCCGAGCCAAGGAGAATTTCGAAACTTTTTGCCAATTTATAAATAGATTCACTAGTTTGCCATACGTATGGAACACGCTGCGGATATTAAAAAATGCTCGCAGTAGGATCGAGTGGAACAAGTGGCAGACCAAGAACAGGGAAGCGGAGATCAGGAGGACAATTGACTGTTTGGCCCCCCCC